CTGTGCAAGTCTGAGAGGCCCGTCCTGGCCTGGCCTCAGTCCCTAGGACCGAGGGTGAGACCTAGAGTGACAGAAACTCCTGCTAGTCCAGGAGCGGCCTACTGTGCCACCAGTGTCAGAAGGCCTGGAAGAGTCAGAGAAAGAAGGAACTCTCTAGGGGGTGGGGGGTGGGGGGGAGTGAGCGGTGTCTGGGGCCCTTTCTTGCTGTGGTACAGGACACCTGACACCCACAGGTCGGAGGAGGCTATTGCAGCTCAAGGATCCAGGCTGTCTCCGAGGCAGCAGCTGGAGGCAGAGGCAGGGAACAGCAGCCCCATGTATGGAGCTGGGAAGGCTCAGAGGCCACAGGGGAACACACTCAGCTCAGGGGCGCTTCTGAAACAGGGGTGGATGATGTCTGGGTAGCACAGTCTCTGGGCGCACGTACAAGTCCCCAAATCTAAGTTGGTGCTGCACTGGTCCTCTCAGAGACTGGGGGTCCCATCCTTGCTGTAAAAACTGCAGTGGCTGTTAGCCGCCAGTACGGGTATAACTGAGGAATGCGAACTTTCCTTACTCCACCTTGCAGGACTCGGTCAGATCAATAGAGGGGAAAGAAATGTAACTCTCAACCTGCTAGGCGTCAGACTCAGAGTTTGTGCTCCCCCAAACTGAAGAAGGAATTCTGAAGAACATTAGAGTTGAAGAGAGAGACAGACAGAGACAGAGACAGAGACAGAGACAGAGACACAGAGACAGAGACACAGAGAGAGACCCCTGTGATACTGGAAGGGACCTGAGAACTGGGTTGCCACAGACCCCACTTCCAGAGCACGTTCCATAGAGCAAAATCATAAGGTGGGGGCTGTTATGTTTTGGGGGGGTGGTGCAGCAGAGTAGCAGAAAGTGGGGAAAGCCTTTGGTAACTCTGAAGACAGGGAGAGGACCAAGGGCAGGGAGCCGGGCAGATCCTCTGCCCTGAGCCAAGGAGGCTGAGACTTCATGGGCTTTTGCCAAGTGCAGAGTTTGAGGGGGGGTTCAGTGATTGGGGGCTCCCTTGTGTACAGGGGAAAGGTATCCAGGACTGGGGTAGCGGAGGAGGAAGCGGTCACTGGGAAGATAAGCTGTTGTCTTGGGGATTCAGCCATGTTGGATTAAGGCTGTGATCATTTAGCATTTTGTACTCAGGCCGGAACCTATCATTCCTGTCTTTTGGTTGTTATAAAGGGGTGATGAACCTATCAGGGGCAAAACTCAGCTTAACCAATAAAATGCCAGGCTTAGCTGCGTGGGGGTATCAGTCCCACAGGCATGGAAAGAACAAAGCTTCTTAAATGGGGATGAGTCAGGGGTCCTGGTCACCCACCAAGGTGACCGACGTTAGTTGACTGTCTATCTCCCTGGGAGGCAGGAAGCCTGGTCACTCTGTTTTTATCTTGAGGCTGGCCTCCGACAGATGTGCCCCTGGCCACAGCTGGATCACATCCTCTTCCTCTACACTGCTTCTCTGAGGGTCCAGCTCTGTCTGGCTGCCTAGAATATTTCTACCCAGTTTAGCTGTCTATAATAAAATGGCAATTTTTCCCCAGTCTTGGAGATCGAACACAGAGCCTTCACATCAAGCTATATCTTCAGCATTTTTATTTATTTTTTTTTTATTTTGGATCTCACTAAATTGCCCAGCCCAGGTTTGAACTTTCAATCCTCCTACCTCAGCCTCCTCCAGTGGCGAGATTACCGACATCTCTTATATAATCCCAACAATTTACCATTTTTGTCGTTGTTTCTGTTCTTATGGAAGTGGGGATATTTGTTTGTTTAACACATAACCCAAATTGGCTTCTAACTCAGTGGTCCTCCCGCCTCGGCCTCCGGAGTGCTGAAATTATGCACATGAGCCACCACACCCAGCTGATAACAGTAATTTAAATGATGGTCCATCTTACTCAAAAGTTGAAATACCTGGGTATGGTGGCACACGCCTGTAACCCCAGGATTCGGGAGGCTGAGGCAGGAGGATCATTACAAGACCAGCCTGGGCTACAAAGTGAGCTCAAGGCCAGCCTGAACTGCACAGTGAGAACCTGTATCAAAGATCAAAAAAAAGGGGGCCTGCCCCTTAGCTCAGTTCTTTAAGTGGCTGCTTCAACAAAGCAGTCAGGCTCAGGTTGCTGTGGTACGATCCCCACAATTCAAGCCAGCCAAACCTGCCCTGAAGGCATGCAGAGCAAAAAAAAGACCAAAAAAAAAAAAAGTGAAATAATTGAGTCAACAAAAAAAAAAAACATAAAACAGAATTTCTCATTTATCATAAACCCAATCCAACTTCACTTCCAAAGCTTCGATACATCAGCCTTTTCCACCCCATCACATTAATGTTAATTGGGACTCTATAGTCTAAGCAGCACTCAATTTTTAATGCATTTTGGTTTTATAATTGGACCAGAGCTACTGCCTTTTGTGCATACTTGAAAAGAACTCTACTGAAGAAGTTCAACAGATGGCCACACTGTAAATTTGCAAAGCGTGCGTGGTGCTGTCCTCCTCACACAAACTGGCTCATCCTGAGCGGTCCATCTACCCCAGCTCCACACGCTGAGGAGAGACTTTTCTGTGTGCACAAATTCTCTCAGCACTCATGGCTCCTGCACATCAGTCTCTTACTGTCCACGGGAGGCAAACACCCCCCCACACACTCCACACCCCCACTCCCCCCCACCCCTCACCCTCTACCCCCGCTCAGTCCACAAGCACAGTGTCTCTGGGTGCCCCAAAAAGCAGATCAAAGAGACAAGAACAAAAGGAAAATTATTGGGCCACCCTGGGAGAGAGAACTCCAAGTTCCCAATGAATGTGTCCCTTCTCCCGTCCAGGCAGGGTTGGCCCAGGTTGCGCCTCCATTTGCATTTCTTTGTTGCAAGATGAATGAGACTCCTTGGGCTTCCAGCTCGGGCTTCCAGCCCCGAAGGGAGTGGAGCAGGCAGCAGTTACTTTCCAAAAGAAGCCACTATCCCGGCCCAAAATGCGGTGAGCCACCAGAAGAGGTCACCGCGGAGCAAAGCGTATTAAAACGCGAGCGGACTCCGTGTATTTCAGGCCACCATGAAGATTCTGGCTCACACACAAGCCCCCGGAGGAGTGCCCACCCTGCCCGGCCCGCCCTGCCTGCTTGGCCCCGCTTCTCGCCCCTCGGGTAGAATCCCCAGGCAAATCTCAAGCCAGGCGCTGTGCATCACAGAGGCAAGCCCTGGCCTTCAACTCAAGCCAGCACCTGTCCCTGGCTGCCAAAGCCTCTTCCTGTGGTGGAGGCAGGAGTCTCTCAGGGGCTCCCCAGGGTCTCACCGAAAAGCACCAGATTGAGGCTCTCAGGGGCTCCCCAGGGTCTCACCGAAAAGCACCAGATAGAGGCTCCTGAAAGTTTTGTTTTAAAAGATCAGGAGTCAGGGTGTGGTGGTGCACGCCTGTCAGCCCAGCACCCTGGGAGGCTGGGGCAGGAGGTTGGCAAGTTTAAGCCCAGCCTGGGCAACTTGGTGTCTTTGCAAGGTCCTGTTGCCAGTGGGCCAGAGAGATGGCTCAGTAAGCCCTTGAGGGCCTGAGTTCAAGCGGCAATTCTGCAACAAAAAAAAAAAAAAAAGTTTGAGATCCTGTCTCCAAAAAATTAAAAAGAATTTGTATTTCTGAGGTGCTCCCCAGCTCTGACTGCGAAGTTGCACGATCTCCAATACCCATGCTCTGGAGACACACCCCACCACCCCCCACGCACCCACAGCCTGTGCCCAAGCCCACTGCCACAGGGATACCTCAGCATAAGTCCTGTGTTGCCCGAGCAGCCACAGTGCCCCAGGTGGCTGCTGGTCTCCCGTGTGACCTCTGCTCCATCCTAGTCTGGCCCCCTCCAGACGCCACCTCTAACAGAAAAGCGAAAGAAACCAACTGCAGCTGTGCCGAGGGCACAGGGAGAGGAGCAGGTCAGCCTGGCAGGCCAATCTGGTCTTCTCAGGTGGGCCTCTCAGCTCCTTGGGGCAGTGCCCCCCACTTCGTGCCAGGGCAGCACACGGCCCCTTTTCCCAAAGGGCGCTTTATGAGCCAAAGCTGTCACACTGTCAAGGCTCCTCAGCCTCCGGGGCCACAGGCAATGCCTAACACCAGTATCTTGTCTCAGGAGCCATACAGAGCCTAACATGGCCTGCATGGAGGGTGACGAAGGGCAAAGAGGCTATGGAGACTGGGGGAGTGGGAGGGTGGCACACACCTGTCATCCCAGCACTCAGGAGGCTGAAGCAGGAGGGTCACCAGTTAAAGGCCAGCCTCAGCTACAGAGCAAGACCTTGTCTACAAAAATTAGACATCAACAGATTGCAAGCTAGGTTTCTTTTTTGGGGGGAGGGGTGGCAGCATTGGGGATTAAACCAGGGCCTTTGCACTAAATAGCCTGGGCTGGGCTCAAACTTGCAATCCTGGGCCAGGAACACAGCTTAGTGGCACAGTGCCTGCCTGGCAAGCACAAGGTCATGAGTTAAATTCCCAGCACCAAAAAATAAAATAAGTAATTGCAATCCTTCTGCCTCAGCCTCCCAGAGTGCTGGGATCAGATATGCTCTACCAGTCAGCTACTACCTTTGGTTACAGCTAAGAATGAATGTGGGCTCTATCTCAGAGAAGCCAGAAGCCCAAGGTGAAAACAGATTGGGGGCCAGGCCCTGAGGCCGTGTGTGCCCAGCACTCAGGACACCTCCATTCCTAAGTCTCTCCACCAGGCCAGCACAGGTCCCATCCCTCCCCTAAGGCACAGGTCAGCATTTTCCTCAGCTCAACTAAAGCATTGAAGATACTAATTCCAAAGAGCAAACAGTTCAGTTCTTTTTTGTTTGGTTCTGAGATAGGGTCTCCTTATGTAGCCCAGGCTGGGATCCTGGAGTTCAGCTCCCAGGATTGAGTCAAGAATGAAGAATTACACTTTCAAACCCACCAGAAAAACAACTTACCCAAGAACTAAAATCCACAGGTCTGATTTTCAAGAAAGTCTTTCATCCTTCTCATTTATTATGCCATTTTCTAGCTTTGTATCCAGCACAACCCAATGAAGGAGTACAGCGTTTTCACCACAGTGCCAGCATATATAAATATAGGTGTCAATAAATACACTTCAAATGGTGTCCCAAACCTCTAACTCAAAGGGAGCTCTCCTTGGCAGTGTGATCCTTTTGCTCCAGTTTTCCAGGGTATTTTTTCTTCATCGTGAGGGACCAACATCTGAAGACCTCTAGGATGATGGGTTTGTGGGGGCCACTTTGAAATGTATGGCCAGATACAATTCATCTGGCCTGTGATCACCGGGACCCCAAGGACACAGAGAAAGCAACTCCCCTCAGCCCTGGGGCAGTGACATGTGAGCCTGATCTGGTGTCACAGCCCAGCCAGCATGCGATGAGCTCGACAGCGCATCCTAGTTTGGTGTGGGTGGCCTGGGAGTAGAGTGACAGGGATGGACACAGGGCGGAACACTGAGGCCAGAAGGGGGTGAATCGCACTACAGATTTGCCCACCATGCCCCCCAACCCTATGGCACGAGTGTGGGCACCACCCACCCAGAGCTGGGCGAGGCTGGACTCTTTAATCGCTGCTGACAACTCTTAAGTCTAATGAGCATGCACACCCATGTCTCGGTGCGAATCTGCCACTCGTGACAGTTGATTTTCACCTCCTGTGTGTGTCCACAAAGCCATCTGTCCCCCACACAGCCACAACGCCCACCAGCCTCAGCACTGCCAGGGACTCTGGGTTTTTCTTTCACAGAAAGAGTAACATTGCCTTCAACTGCTCTGTTGTGTTTGTTCTTTTGCCTCGGAAGAACCTAACAATGCAATTTAAATAGGAAAGCATTTCAGTCAATGGAGTAAAACGTACTCTTTAAAAAAATAGTACTTTGAAAATGAAAATGAAATCTTTTACCAAAATAATTCATCTTTTCACATTGTACTCTCCACAAGCCAGCTTAATAAACAAACTACTATTGGCTTAAAAAATGTCACTTCGAGTATTACTTTCTCCCCTGCCCTTGATTTGAGTGGGAAAGGAAAGCTAAGAAAAACAACTTCAATTCCAAAAGGTGTTCAGTGTGTGACACAAGCAGGCCAAGTGCCTCGCTGGTCTTGCACACTCATCTTCTAATGGATTTGCGACGTTTGTCACTGAAAGCCTGTGGCTGCAAGGCTTTCAATAGCGACCCTGTCGGAGTAAAGCAATAAATAACATCCGTGAAGAATATGGCTCAACTTCTTCAACTACTGTCTGAAACCCACCCAGTCTCTTGAGACTTCCCAATAAAAATAGAGGTCGTCAGGGTTCGGCCACAAGCGCTGCTCCAGCTCCTGCTACCCACAGCGCCTTCGGATGGGCGCTGAGCTGATTTCAAAACGCCCCTCGGTCCTGCTTACTGCAGTCTGGTTTAAGGCGTTGCAGCGTCACTGAGAGCTGGATGGGGCTAGCCCACCCTATGATGCCCGCAGGTGCAATAAGGCAAAATACTCCAGCCTTGCAAGCAGTAGAGGCGAGGATAAGCGAGCGAGAAGGCTGTCTGCACCCAAGGAAGGGAAGCTCATATCACCTGAGAGACTAGCAAGCCACTGTGGGGAAGCTCACAAGCTGGGCCCATGGCGGCCCAGGGGCCCAGACCTGCAAAGACTTCACCTGCCCGCTGTCCAACCATGCCCAGGTGGCAGAGCCTCACCAGCACAGAAGTGCTAGCCTACATGCCCCGGGCATGCCGGAATCCCACAGGGGCACTGTCGCTCCTGGGAAAAGCCTTGGGACACCCATATTGCACATCAAGAACGAATCCCTAGGGTGCACCCTTGCATGGGCCCGGCGAATGCACTGTCACAAGTTTGTCACTTTGCATTTAAGTGTGTTTCCTGGCGCAGGGCACAGGGCACAGTGCGAGGCAGGACACAAATGCTTTTGGGCCTCTAAGCCCAGACCGGCACAGGGGGCTTCCGGCACAGGGTCTGTCACTGGGACACCAGGCTCCCACATTGTTGCAAGGGGCTGCCTGAGCCCATCACGCCGAGGCTGAGTGGACACCCTGGTTATCAAAGGGAGGGGGCGGCTCTCTCCAGAAGGTGAAGTGGCTGAATGTGTCCGAGCAGGGGAAGTCAGAAGAGTGGCTCCGTTTCAGCAGCGGGAAGACATGGTCCACCACCTCGCAGAGTCGCACATACCTGCAGGGAGAGGCACAGCAGTCCTGTCACCAACTGATGCCCGCAGCACAGGAGACAGCTCTGTCCCCAGGGGCACTGAGAAACCTATGACCCTACACGGTGGATGCCTGCCTCACAGTACCGCTCTTGGGAAGCTTTTCAGATGTGAGAAGAGGGATCAGAGCAGGCAGGACAGGAACCACACCAAGAGCAAAGCTGAGCATGCAGGAGACCAGCAAGGTCAAGGCACAGCTACGTGCCACGGAGGCCACACAGGGACTCCCTAGAGAGCCCAGGCTGCAACTTGAGATCCTCCTGCCTCAGTGTCCAAGAGTGCTGGGGTCCCAGGGAAAGGAGCAGAGGCAGCAACACTAGGGGCTGACTACACCATTATGTGAGGAAAGGGCACGGCCCTGGGGCTCAGGAGACACAAACCAGACTGTTGGACCTGCCGCGCTCCTCCTGTAACTGCAGGTCAGGGGCAGAATCCCTTGGTCACATGACCCCGCTATGAGGGGAGGAAAAGGAAAACCAGGACAGTGCTGGGAACAGCAAGGCAACAGGCAAAAATAAAGCCATGTGGGCAATAAAATGGCATCATCAGTGCAAGCAATGTGTCCTTAATGACAAATCTTGAAGCTGTCTTGGGGAGGTGAGCCCTGCCTAGCACATGAGTCAAGAAGCCTGAGGTTCTTGTGGTGTGGTAGCCCACAGCTGTCATTCTAGAGCTCGGGGAGGCTGAGGCAAGGAGATCACAAGTTCAAGCCCTGCCCAAGCAACTTAATTTAGTGAGAACTCTTCTAAAAATTTTAGAAAGGGGGTAACAGGCTTGGGACTCCTCCTGTCTCTCAGGAGCTACTCTATTCCCTATTACAATAAAGCTTCCTACTCTTAAAAAGAAATTTAGGCAGTTAATTGGTAGGATTCTCACCCTGACTAACTATAATAACATCTGTGAACTAAGCAAAGGCTCTGAGGATAGCAATGTGTAATACAAGGGCCGTGCTTGGAATGCCGGTCATGCTGGTCTTCTAAATGGGTACTGCTTCTATTGTCATATCAATTACTGCCATACTCTCTCTCAACTAAATGTTTGTTTAAAAAAAAAAAAAGAAGAAAACAAGAGACAAGAAAAAAATGTCATAGGACTGTCCTGTTACAATGTTGTATATGGGTAGATTTCAAATTTCTGTGTAAAAGTGTGTAATTGTTTATTTCTATTTCTTTTACTATTTTATTTTTGTTCACATTTTATAGGGATTTAAAGTTTAGCATGGTGGAGCCGGGGAGATGGCTCAGTAGATTAAGTGCTTGCCTGGCAAGCGCAAGGGTCTGAGTTCAATCCCCGGTTCCACAAAAAAAATAAAAATAAATAAAGTTTAGCATGTTAACAATTGATGGAAAATACCTGCTCCACATTATGTCAAAGGCGTCTGATATTCAGACAGACAGTGATGTCAAGCTCAACTGCCTATGTCATAGGGTAATAGTATTATTAAGCTTCTCTTCTGGAGGGTTAACAACTTAAGTTTGCAGACCAAAACATTAGAGAAAAAGAAGGGCTACAAGGGTAGCCAACATTTTGGCCATAGCCCTTCAAGGTCAGTGAAGACTCAGGACATAAGAGAATCTCCGCTGTAACATCCTATAACTCAGTGGTGTCCCAAATTTTCTGATCAAGGAGATTATGGGACCACAGAGCAAAGTGAT